TTGATTCAGGGTCATTGGTTGTTTCATCTCTCGCCCCATTTTTGTGCTTGTTGCGTGTTTTTTCTCCAAATATAGCACACATAGAATTGTGCGTAGATCACAAATATGTGGAAAATTAAGCGCGTAAACGATCAAGTCATTGGATTAATCACCTTTTTCTTTGCCACTTTGAATCCATCGCGTAAATGGCGAAATTACTTTCTCTAATTCGCAGCCGATCACTTAATCGAATACATTTCAGTTGTTTTTTTTGTTTTTTTCTTGTGTTTCTGGTCGACAAATGACCAACCAAATTAGAAGCCTTTAAATGAAATACGGAAAAAATGGCACAAACATGCAATCTTCAACAAAAAACATATCCATGGTGTATATAAATTTACTGCATAGAGTTCAATTACCCGTCAATTTTTTTTAAATGATGGATCAATCTAGAAGTTTATTAAATTTCATTTAAATAAAACTGAACAATATGAATTTGGCTGAATTTTCAATAATACTTTTTTGGAAGAAAAATGAACATCAATCCGCCTTAGAATGATGGAATGAACGAATAAAAACTAAAATAATAATTCGTAGAACATGTAATTTAACCTTAAATCATTTGAGAGCAAAAACATCGAGAGATTCTAGTGAACAGAACGAAAATGGCATTAGAGATGTAGAAAAAAAAGATCATGAATGAGGAGGAAGAATGTGTATTGAATACAGAAATAGAATGAGCGCTATTTTATTAAACGATATTTCCGTCTGTTGTTCATGACCTCTGTCCAAATGTGTAATTTTCATGTAAGTGCACGACGCATAAATCATGCATGTCGATCACATAGGTCACGGTATTCGAACAATACGCACTACATTGTGCATGCACTCTTAATTATCCCTTTTTCGGAATTACTTGGCCTGTGCGAATTATAATTTTTCATCGAAATTCACGCTTCAATTACATAAAAAGCCGAGAACAACCTCCATGAATGTTCTGTTTCCGTTGAAAACATTAAATAAACAAAACGGCCGATTTAATTTATACCAAATTACGTACAATAATGTGTGCGTGTACGTATGTAATGTAAACGCTCTCTATCACTCCCTGACACACACACTCCCTCAGTAAGCCGCACCGCCTCAGTTAAAACACAACGAAAAAATAAAATGCGAATGGAAAAACGACAAAAACTACAACATTTCCTCCGGTCAATAATTGAAATAAACAATTATACCTGTTAATTTTCAATTTATAAGAACATGCGAAATGTGGTGCTGCATTGCGAATTGCGTTTTGTCTGATAAGCATTAAATACAGCAATTACATTCCCATATATCAGATGAAAATGCAATGTTTAGAGGCCGAAACTGTTCAGGATGCCCATGTTCAACCTAATACATTGGCATTAATGCCATCTCTATTGCAGCTCATATTTTAGCGATATGGATTGTTCGTTTTCTTTTTCTGTTCTGGTCGAAGATCGGTTTGTTGATTTATACCAAATCTTATAAAATATGAGATTTTGGCTCGATGTGGCGTGAGCAAGAATAACGCGTTCTCTCTCACCAGCCATTAGCTTTTTGCTTGTCAAAAATGCATGTGAACTGTTCTCTCTCTCTCTTTCTCTATCACACATAGATACACCAAGAGCTCTCATAGAGAATCGATTCTTTTCAGACTCGTTGCATCAGACCGTTGTCAGTTATGTACTGTTCCTTTTTATTCGTATCTTTTCTTTTCATTTTATTTATTACATAACTTCTGAATTCTGAAAACGCAACACGATGAAATTTAATAAAAACTAATGCCAGCCTACGTTCACGCGCTTGCACTTTTTTCTACGGCAAAATTGTGCACCTTTGAACTTTTAAGCATAAATCTGTTTGATTATGTTTCGCGTGAAGCTGCTTATTTTACTTGATTTTCATTTTCGTCATGGTCGGCAGATGAGTGTGTGCGTGTGTGTGTGTGTTTGCTAGAGAATCGATTGAAACCAAACAACAACAAAATTCAAACGAAACGAAAAATAAAAATAATCGAACCGCATATTGAACGATAAAAATTTCAAATGATGTGTTTGCTATTCGGAATGAATTCTCAAACTTGGCTCAACATACCAAAGAAGTGCATATTGGTTGCTGTTTGGATTCTTTCCCTTTTTTTCACATTGTTTAAACAGTAAAATGAAATCTATTAATTTCCCTGACCTTTCCACACAGAGTTCTTATTATTAAATAGGGAGTTATATTCTTTCGATATTCACCTTTCTTCGATATCGAAAACATTCAATTCGATCGCATCTTTATCTTCATCTAAAACAATATACTAGCCAATGTTTTTTTTTTCTTCTTCATGTTCGCATCGACTTGCCAAAGATGAAAGAAAAGCACTTTTTTCTTTGTCTTTCCATTTCTGAATGGTGATTGTCTCTCGTCATTTCTGTTTATTTTTTTTTTATTTTCCAAATAGATTTCAAAGGAACGCAAAGTTATTTCGCTCGCCCAACGCGAACGGACAACACGAATCGTTTGCCCTTTGGCTTTTCAATGAAAATTGTGGAAAATTATAAGAACAAAAATGAAAGTGATCATTATAAATGGTTTTTTTTTGGAGAGTGCGTCTATGTGACCGGTACTTTGCCGTCGATTTTCGTGATTTCTCTACATAAAAAAATCTGAGAAAATAATTTTTTCGCATCAATATAACTGAATCTTTCTACGGCGCTGACATTGCACACCAATTTTCCCATTGATCAAACAATGTATTTTACAAAACTAAATATTCGTTCGCACAAATGCTTGACGTTTTAATTGTTGTTGTTTTGTTTGCTCAATTTTCTCTTTGAGACCATATCCATTTTCACATTTGAAATTCTCTCGAATAGGCTGTGTTTCTACGTTAATTGCTACGTCGTCAAACGATTAACAGTTGTTTTCCACCATGCAAATAAATATTGATTGACAAGTTGATTCCGGGTATGTGAACTGCTTAATTTGTAGGACCTACATCAATGTTATTTCGCATGCACTTGGAAATGAATTATAAATCAAGTGTATCTTTTTCGACGTTATTTGATTGATTAGAGGCTCAAAAAATATATATTTCAAGTTCGTAAACGAGTCAAAATGAAGAAAAACTTCGTTCAGCCACTATGATGGTTTGAAAGAGTAAGAGAAAAAGCTTGTTTCGTTTACTGATTTATCGTTTGTGTCTCAGAAGACACACATTCAAACACATATGACATTAAAGAAAAAAAATTGATTGATATTCAATGGTTCAGTTGAATTTTTGTGTGTACACCGTGCGCCAAAGTATCGGTAAAAACCGTAGAGCTGAGGTGTTCATATAGCTATTTTGCTGGTACATTTATTTGGTTTTGTTCAATGCCTTTTTCTTCAATAAAGAAAAATCATTTATCTTCAACAAATTTTCGAATTCTTTGCACTGCTCGAATTTTAATGAAATCGTATCAAGTGTTGGTTTCAAGTTTTGAATATTTGAACTGTGTGCCCATACCGATAGAATATTCGTTTAGCATATCTCATTTGCCACTCTTTGTTCGATTCATTTTTGGTTAGATTTTGCCTATTTTTACTTCTTTCATCCGTATGGTTTTTTCTTATATCTTTCTCGTTTGCTCTAATTTATTTATCTGACGCGCAATGCGCATTGTTTCCCAATATTCTATTCATCCTAGTTGTGATTTTCATTGATGGTTTATTTGCCATTGCTGTTGCTCTTTTATTCAGGCTTTTGTGTTCCGTTGATCAGTCGGCCGTTCACCGACCTTTCTTTTCTCTATACATATATGCATTGCGTTAGATGCGTGAGATGCGTATAATGTATTGTATATCAAATGGAAAGAAGAAAAATAAGTAGCAGATTATTAAAAACAAGAGCAAAAATTCGGTTTCGACTCGATCAACAAAGTAAGGGAAAAGCTACAAGCGTATAAAACGTATACATATATATATTTTGTTCATTTGTATCGAATCACAGAGTCGCATGCTATAAAATAAATAAATAAAAAACCATGGAAAATATTCATGACTAATACAAACACACGCATGTATATACGTCGATTTGTAAGCTGATATATATTCTGTTGTTCGGCAAGTGATCTCTTGTGGTCATTTTACCATTTTCTTTAGAAATTAATCGTGGCCAGTGCTTCTTAAATGTACGCATTGATTCGCATTGACGGAAACTTGTGGTGCCCTTCAACGTTCAACCGTTATTGTGTTACCAACTATGACAAGCACAATAATTGTTACTTTGTACGATTCAGAAGATCAACATGAACAATCAATTGCATCATCGTCAAGAAGCAGAAGCATTCAATATTTTATGATTACTGTGGTGTCCACCATGTGAAACGTACACCACACGCAATCTAAACGAAAGAAAACAAAACATTTGAGAGCTCTTCAACAGATACAATTATTAAATAGATACACGCGTGGATTCCATCGGACAAGGTTCGCCACCCGACAAATCTTGAATTTCCGTTACAAATCATAATCAAAATATTCATCAAATGGTTGAAAGAGACCAATTGTGCTTATCGAATTTTATGAGAAAGACAGTAAGTGTGTGTGTGTGTGAGAGAGAGAGATAGAGGGAGCGAGAGTTTTTTTAAGTGCTGACGATTATGATCAGCACGGTACAATGAGAACCAACGAAGAGTTTTGGTTTAACTGGTGCCGTATTGTCGTTAGTTTCTCTTAATTTAACCAATACGGTGTCCAATGGCATGAAGATGTCCAAACAATAAACGATAATCAAGCACTAAGTCGTGTGAAATCGTCGACACTCAAAAAGAACAAACGAAATTCGATGCTTCGTTTGTTATATACAATTCGGGTATTATACAGCCGGCAGACATTTAACTCGAATTAAATCTCATTGCGCAAATTTATATTCGAACCTTTAATCAAATCGAAAGCGAGCCTAAATCATTTTGTTATTCATTTATTTTTTTCTCACTAAATTCGAATCGTTTTCCTTTTAATTTCAGATTCGCTTTTTCATTGTTTGAATGTGATCGGATTTCCGTCCTTTTTTGGTCATAAAGCAGTTCTAATAACAAAACAACAAGGTATGTTATATTAGTATTTTGTTAAAATTTTGGTATTTATCATTTGGTTACCGTACAGATTCATTAAATGACGTATGTGTATCGCTCTTTGCATGAAAACGAAACACACTGTCACACAAAAAATCTGTAAAACTCACCGTTATTGGGTGCTTTGTGTTGCAGAGAATGCAGAGTTGATCACATGCTGAAAGCAAAAATATATACATACATGATCTGTTCGCAAAGAAAGAGAAATGAATAGTAAAATCTCATTTTTTTTTAAATTTCTTTTTTATTTATTGATCAAATTGTGCTGTTTTTGTGTGTGTGGAATTGGTTTTCAATCTACGTAGAGAAAAAGTTGAACGGCGATCACCGTATTTTCATTTGAATCGATTTTTTTGTTATTCTTGTCGATGTGTGTTATGCAAAAAGCGAAATTTTCGACTTCGAAAGCTTAAACTAAACTCATTTCTTCATCTCCATATGAAACTGAATCTGAAAAAAAAAACGAAGACGAAAAAGAATATTTTTTATGGATATTAGACCAAACAATAGATAGGCAATTTTCAATATTTTACCGATGTGCGTACATGTGTGTTTTCAACAATAGAACCAAGTAACACACACCGAATAGCTAATCCAATCGAGAGAATGAACCAAAAAAAAAATGCACGTGTATTTTTCTTTTAAATATAAATTCGGTTTGATTTGAGGCACACGAACTCTTTTGTATGCGGTTATTTGAAACCGTTTTCATTTCAATGGCTACTAAATGTTTTTTATGGTAAATTTAAAATGTGCCAATCACACGTACAACAAGTCATTCAGATTGCGGGATCACATTGAGCCGAACTCACATTAATATCGATACAATATGTGATGTGCGTGTGTGAAACTGATGGCGACGATTCTGTCTAACATTTTGGCGGTGTTGTGAAATCTCGTTCAAATTTATTCAGATCAGATTTTCACAGTGTGACGATATGAGAGTGATGACCATCTCTCTTTTTGCCATTTCATCTTTTATTATGAAAATCGAATTTCGTTCAATTCGAAAAGAGATTCCATTACGTTTCGAAGCGATGATTGTGATCTACAAGATGAACACATAACCATAGCAGCATATTTCTAAGCACAACAAAGGCAACCGAACTATTTATTATGATATGCATTCAAAACGACAAACATTTTTCACGAATGTAATTTGTGAATAGAGATGACAATCTGGTTCTCATTTCATTTTTCTTCTCTTTTGCCGATAATAATTTGACCGGCAGCTACTACTTTCAACCACTTTAATTCCGTTCAAACATTTTATTACACATCAAATGCGCAATTGAAAATTACTTAAACTAGGCAGAACAAGAGAAATAAATACTTTTATTAGCATAAACACATAAATATGGAACTAATGAGAATTGTTTACAGTTCGGTAAAGTTTTATGACCTTTGTTCAGTTTATCGTGTATCCGATTCCAAAAGATAGAAAGAGAGACAGCGAACGAGCACATTAGCCATAGTTACTCGCACACATAGCGGTTTGACGATGGCAAACAAAGAACCAAAGGAATTTAACATGAACATAAAATTGTCATTTTGTATTCGGGCGCTACTCGAAAAGTTGCATGCCTATAGCCTATGGCCAACTACATTTACATTACAAGAAGATGGGGGAAAAAAACCAACAAGTTTGAAGAGAAAAACAAAATAAGATGAAAAGAGACTTACACATAATTACTTACCGACAAACAAATCAAAAACGATAAGCGGAAAGAGCATCCATCGCACCATCGTGTTGAGTAAATAATTTAACGGCAAAACTCATGAACAAAAATCTAAGAAGATGAAAGAAAAAAAAAAACAACGCTGAAAAAGACAAACGGTCATTATGATTTGGCGACCATTTACATACGCATCGGTGATGAGAAAAGTTACACACTTGTGTGACAATCCAAATCCGAACATTTAAATTCTCTCACACAATGTGCTCAATGGCAAATTGCATATTCTTCGCGGTTTGAGAATTTGTTTTGTGACACAACTGTTTGCACAGAAACTGTTTGCTCCGGTTCATTTCTTTCATTAGTCTTGCCGCTTGCGCACGCGCATATTTCTATTTTATTTATTTTTTTATTTTGTTTCACCGAAAATTAATCGTTATGCGTTGGTGAATCACATACACCCAACTATGGATTAAATTCATGGATGTTAACTTGACTGAAATCTCCGTTGTGAGCATTAAAACTAAATTCCAAATCTCAGATGGAAAATAGAGAACATTATTATGTCATTAAATGGCATTTTGTTTTGGTTTTTTTTTAACGGTTCGAATGAGAAAGGGGAAAAAAGTTTGAAGCAAATAAAATCTCTCATGTAATTTATAAGCGATTTGTGTGAATGCATAATCTCATATGCAGATAGATTGTTTATGTCTTTTGTTAAATGCAGACCAAACACATGTGAAATAGAAGAAAAATAAATTGCCGATGAAAATTGTTGAGATAAATATTTGAGAAGCGATGTATGATGCGCACGCGTGTACGTTAGCATTTTTCGTTGGATGCACGAAAGCCCATCACACACATACACAAAATATACGTTGTTGTACGAATGTCTCATATGCATGCGCATATGGCGATAATAATTGGCACATTATTCACTCTTATAGCGAATCAGTGCATTCTCTATGAACGGTTAAACACGCCAATTAGATTATTTACCTTTTTTTTGCATATCGGATAATTAATCATATAAACACATGCGCGCCTGATCTGAGTCGCGCGCTCACACACAAACTATTATGCCAAAAAGCCATTAAATCATAGGCCTGTCATATTGTAATGTGTTGTGCACATCAAGCGTGGCAATCAAAGATGCAGACATTGCCATTGCTAGCCACATAAGAGACTTTGTGCACATGCACCAGCACCAACAACAGCAGCTAAGTATAAATTATTACCATACGGTTTCAATGCAAAACACAGCTATTTCAAAGCTCCTTTTAACTCTTGTACAAATAAAAGGAAATGCATCTATCTCTCGCCGGCAAGCGTAAACACGCGCGCGCTTCAATCGACGAGTGACGACTGTGAAAATGATGCGCGTGCGCGTATGATGCACCAAGTATCTTGTGCCACAATGAACATTTTATGTGCACTTTGTCGGATCAGTTCAACACCGTTGCGCCGCATGGTGCGGTAATGAGTATTAAGATATTTTAAGTATTCGTGATTATATGTTGGAATGAACGCCACTTCACACTTTTTGAAATGCGTCACTCAAAATATGCTCTTGTTCTTATTATTTTCTGTGGAATTAGATTGATCGATACGCAAACATGTAAATATTGTCGGCTGTCATCATTCTGTGAAGAGCTCACGACCAATCAAAGTGAGAGATCATGCTCACCGGGCACACATAACTTTATTAACCGGATTATTATGCGATCAATTACCGAACGAATTAATTTTTAAATGTCAATTTTTAGTGGCAGAAGAAAAGATAAGGATTTATCGCATAGAAGGTGCACGATCCTCTTTCCGGTTGTTGTGCGATTAAGTTTTTTTTTTTGGTTTGCTGCAAATAATTTTATCGTTTCCTTTGGAGATGCACCAAATAAAAACACACAAGAACAATAGCACGATCAACAGAACGCAAAAAACAGCAAAAAAAAAATCGAGCGACTACATTTCAATTATGTTGCGAATTAATTAATGGCTTCGGCAAAGTCAATTTTCATTATCGATTCGCACGAAAGGGTTTTCACGTTTGAATGAGTAAGTTTACTGCATATATTTCGCGCAACGTTTGCTAGTGTTTTATACATTGTATGAATATAAAGAGGAAAAAAAAACACAATCTCAACCGAACATGTGTATCGAGGAGTGTTACAAACGTTTTAATTCACTTTTTGCGAAAGGCTTTTGTGCATTCGCGACTCCATCTGTCTCCTTCAGTTGCATTGTATTTCAGATTTGAATAGGACCGAACACTTGGGAACATACTTTTAATCCAATTGAGATACATTATTTTACACGGTCAACATATAGTCGAAATGAAAGAAAAGAAAGAGAACAAAACTTACGCGGTGATTAAATTAAAGTTTTTTTTTGCGTTTATCTTTTGCACTCAACAAGTGCAATAGCTCCTTTTTTTTGCATCCAGAGCAATTCGAACAAGTGCTTGTTTCGAAACTGAAAACATGTTATTACAATACGATGTTAGGATACCATGTTTAGAGTCGGTTGAGTTGTTGTACTTCCTTTTCTCTAATTCTATGTCCCTCTCTCTCTCTCTCTCTCTACCTACATCACGATTATCTCTTTATTCTCATTTGAATTAGGAGACAGAGAGCCATAGAGAAAAGAACGTGAACACCAAATGCGTACGAAGAAAGTCAATTGCTTTCAGACAGAAGCATATGTATGTGTGCACAAGATGTAAAGGTCGAATTGTAATTGCGATAACGCCAAATGCGTGCGACGAACGACTTTAGAAAAAGAAGACCAATCCATGTGCAACTGAATAAAATTCTACATGAGTTTATACATTGGCAAAATATTCACAAACCGTAATTTATCACATACCACGATTTCAATTGCTATTACACTATTTCTGCAATCCACTTTGATTTCAATTCAATACAGAGAGATAGAGAGCAAATAGTTTTTACATTTTCGTTTTTCATTAAATTACTTTCCATACGTATTGAAATTCTCTGCATTGAATTGTGGCTCAGGCAATGCTCGCGAGCAAACACACATGAAAATAAACAAGTCGTCTCTAGATGCAAACACATGCTTACGTCACACAAATCTAAACTCGACCATAGTATAGAAATCTAACGTAATCAATTATGGTTTATTGATCTTTTCGTTCACACATACACACGATCATAAATGTATCGTTGTCAGAGCGCGCAAGACGAGTTCGTAGATCGATATGTATGGCATTGTTAGTACATTTGCCTTTTTTTCATGTCATTCAGTTACAGCGATAGAGAGAGAGAGAGAGAGAGAGAGAGAAAAGCCGCCCCGAAAAAAGGTTATACATATAAATCCAAAGAATTCTCGGAACCGTATCTTTTCTATTTGGTCATCTACTTGTTTGAGGATTCCTTTTCCAGCTCACTTACCATGCCGCATTGTTCGTTAAATTATTTGATCAAAAGACTTCCCCATCAATTTGATTGATAGCGGTCAATTACGTTTTTTTTTAAATGTGTTGAAAAAAATGCTCATTTCAAACATTAAGATCAAAACTCCGATTCAATATCGACGCAAACAACAAAAATGTTTCTTTCTATTTAACAATGCAAAACACTAGCGGTGCCAGCAGTTTTTTTCCTTCATACTTACTAACTCGGTTTTTTCCCTTCATTTTTTTTCTCTCTGTCTTTGCCAATACAAAAAGAATAACACAAAAAAACACACACACCTTAGTTAAAAATATTAAATAGTTTTTTTTCTGTTCATTATTGCAAAATTCTTATTAAACTATCTTTATGCGTATCAACTATGAGTAAAAATGCTTATAAATCTCCTTATGTTTTCGTTTGTGTCTGTGTATTTTCTTCTCTGATTTTGTTTTTGTTTGATTTCAAAATATTAATCACTTGTTTGCTGGAATATGAAACGAAATACGATTGAAGTGCATTAATTTGAAATGAAAAATTGTGCCCAAATTTTAATCATCGATAAACAAATAATGTCATTGCATGAACCGTTTGTGTAGCAGCACAAAAAAAAGAGACCGAAACAAAACATTGGACATTTTTTTTTTGTTTCTTTCGTGGCGATGAATGCGCACAATTCTCTCCATTTATGTTGCAAAAACAGCGAGAAATCCAATGATTGTGAAAATTGAACGTATTGTATATGAAATGTAGACACCGCTTTAATTCTTATCATATCTATCAATTGGACTTAAGCAAAATAAACAAATTGTTCAATTGAATGTTTATCATGCTTACAACTATACATATTTTGAATCACAGATCCATGGATTTTATCGATAAATTTGACTAATCAATTAAATTACATGCATTGTGTATGATGCAAATTATTTGTTGTGAATGATTTTTGATGGACGAATAACAGTTATCATCAATCTGTGTTCAAGCATACAATTTATATTTTCTTTTTTTTTTTAAACAATATTTCTATTTTCGTTTCTTTAGCTGTAATATCGTCATTAAATTACCGATTGATTCATGCCATGCATATACATTTTGTTTTATTATTGCTGGTTCATCGATTTCTCTGAATGAAATCTTATCTTCATCGTCATAAAAGAATAAAATTACATTTATTTGTTTCTCTTTCTCTCTATTTCGTTCATCGTGCAATACACAATTTAATATCATTTCGTTAAAAAATATATCGATGGCGCTTGACGCCGTCATACTAGAAAAACCACATGGATATTATTTCGAAATCTTTTTTTTATATTTAAATTTAAACACAACACTTGCTATATTCCTTGACGTCAATGCGAGCTCAAATGGCCGGCTTTGTAAAAGCAATGCTACATATTCAATTCACGTACATTTACATTAATTTGTCTTCTCTAAGAAAATTATTTAGAACGTAGACACGTATTGATTATTTAAAAAAATTGAAAAAAAAAAACAAACATAGTTAAGATTTATCATACAGAAAATATATAGATTTTAAACATATTCTTCATTTTTTCGAATTAGCACGCATAATATTACTTTAATGGAACACCATAGAAAATATCTGGAAAACAAATTGATACGCAGAGATACCTAACAAATGGAGATTTTGAAGTGTCTTTTAATTTGTAAAAAAAATCAGAGGTAAAAATACGGAGTGATACTGGTCCGAATCGATGAAAATCTTTCTATCTTCTTCTTTTTCCTCTCTCTCTCTCTCTCTCTCTCTCTCTCTCTCTCTCTCTCTCTCTCTCTCTTCCTTTTGATTCCGAGTGCTGTATGTGTAGGTTGAATTTAGTTGTTTCATGTTGTTAGGTAGTTGTATTGTTTCAATTTAAGCACTCGACCAAATGATGCAAGTTTTAGCCCGATCCACCGTTGCCAATACTGAACTGAATGGGTTCCATGAGACGGCTGTCACAGCAGCAGCACTGCGAATAAACAAACCACCCGGTCTTGGGAGGTGAAAAACAATGTTTTCCATTTTTGATGCAAACACATTATGCACATTTACGCAAAAAAAAGGATTGAGATTTTTTGATATAGATATGTTAATGAAATTGATCGTTGTCGAAATGTTGTTGAAAATGAATGTTTCAAATGAAATGAAATAATTTGAAAAAAAAAAAAGTCAAATGAAATAAGGCCATCACCACAAAAATGAAATGCCGGTTAACCACAAACTTTCTATACGCAAATTGTAACACGAATGTGGAAAAGGAAAATTGGCAAATTGAATCATGCATGGAGAATAGAAAAAAAATGTTTAAATATGATGTGTGTTGACGAATCGTATTTTGCTTGCCATTGGAAATGAAATTGAAAAAAACTGATTGAGTTTTCTCACTTCGCTTTCTATCCAGTGTGCAGAAAAACGAGCAGTCTTTAAAAAGAGAAATTTAAATGCCCACAGCTTCATTCTTTCGTTAGTTATTTTTTTCTTCTTCTACTTTCAATTGACATACGTATGAGTCACACAATGAATTGATTACATTGTGTTTTTGGTACGTTTTCTAGTGCAACTTAGAAAGATGTGTGGAGAGAATCGATTATGGTTGCGCGGTTTTTTCTTTCATTCCTCGCTTGCTAAACACATTGAATCGAACACCTGAAAGCGAATAAGTTTTTAGGCACATTGCACCCGTATTCATATGATATAGATATTTGGAATTCTTGCCGATACTTCTTTGGAAGCTCGTATGGATGGCAAAATGCGCTGGTGAATGCCCAACGCATCCACGGTAGAAAGAGCTCTTGGCGTTGTGCGGTGTGGAACGAAAGGTACATATTAACCGCAAATATGTATGGTTTCAGATTGTATTTATGCAAAACTCTTGATCGACGATATTTTAGTGAATTATAATTTTGCTGCAAAATGAAAAATATTTTCCTTTTATTTTGTTATACCGTTTGATGCCTCTCCGACAAAGCCAAACACACGTGAACGAATGAGAGCACGCATAAAATGTTGAACGTGTATTTGTATTTGATATTAACAAAGATCTTACAAACAATTTACGACGAAAAGAATATGATAATTCTAGTTCAAAAAACTCATTCGCTTTCATGTGCTCAACTCAAGTTAAGCGAGAAATGAAAGAAAAAACCGCGTTCCAAAGTTAGGTGATGCCCAAAGTGAAAATGAAAATAAAATGAAAGCAAAATGTCTTACACAGTACAGACACTCAATTCGAAGCAATAAACACTATTCACATACATTACATCAATAAAAAGCGTTTGCCAAATAAAAGTAACACTTACGAATTTTCCTTGAGCGTGCCTTCTAACTGCCCGTTGATATTCCATATGAATATTGCACCGTCATTTGAACCAGCCGCAATACGACTTGTATCACGGCTAAACGACACACGAGACCAGTCACAGCTAACTTTGAAATTATCATTGCTGCATACATCGACGATAGACCGGCGTAGAAAGACAACAGTAGCGCCAAACGAATTTTGGGCAAAAATTGAATAAAAAGAAAAGAGAAAGGATAATATTGATGTTTTCTAATTCGGTCTGTGAATGTTGCCGAATTGAGAGAGAAAAAAATGTCTATAAACGATATAGCTACCTAAACGTTTTGATTATCTGGTTCATGCGTAGATCCAATAATTTAATCGTATCGTCACGAACACAGCTCAGTAAATATTGACAATCTTTCGATAGATCCAACGATGTAATTTTACCTTGTAGCACAATTTCGTTGGCCGAACAATCGGTTCTTGTATCCCAGAAACGGATTTTTTTGTCGTAATGTCCACTGATGATTGTGGTGCCAGATACATCAGTGCCCGTTGTGACTAAATCGTTACAACTCGAACCAGCAAATTTTGTTTCAACACATGCTCGGCTTCGTAAGTCCCATATTTTCAATGTTCGATCGTGACTTCCAGTTACGACTTTCGATGGTTCGCCCAAGAACTTAGCTGCCATCACTTTCCCACTGTGTCCAGTCAATGTATGCTACAAAAAAGAAAAAAAGAGAGAAAAAAAATTCACATTAATTTATCGATTAGAATTGAATCGAAAACATCAACAATCGAATAAAAAACCATACGATGTTGCTGGTTCTCAATAGTAAAGAAATGGAAAATGTCCGAGCAGATCTTTCGTTCGGCTCTCATTTTCAAATGCAAACAATCAATTTTGATGTTCAAGGCTAATTTGTTAATTCAATTGAATACGATCAATTCTCTATCTGCAATTGATGCAAATAGCCATTAATATGAGAACCAATGAAATACAGAGACAATAATAACACAAAAAATAAAGGCACTCTTTATTCATATACAATAATTTCTCGGGCATGTAATTGAATCAGCCATGTAAAACGAACGTGAAAATCCCACGATATGCCATTGTGCATACTTTATATACCCGAGAATATTAGAATTTATTTCTGATTTTTTTGCATGTGTGTGTGTGCGCGCGATCAAATTCGATGAGTCAAAGCGGGAAAATAATATGCAAAGCGAATAAATTTGTTTTCGTTTATCGAATCGTTCAAGCAGAACGCAATTCAATACTGTTAGTTTATCCGTTCAACTTGAGTTAATCTATTATAATAGCGCGTTCAAAAATCACAATTCACAGTGTTTAGAATGGCCAAAGATACACATTGGCTGACAATATGGAAATTGATCACGGTAGCGAACGCGAACGCGTGCGCATATCAAATCAATCTATTTTTTCAATGGAAACTAAATGACAGCTACAATGCACTGTATATATATGCGTAATCGAAATGAAGGCGGAAAACTGAATCTTATTGAAGAGAATAAAATCGCATTTTGGACGGTACATTTGTATAATTCGTATAATTTTATCAAAAGAAACCAATCAACACGAGATCATAAAGAATCCAACGACTCTCCGCTTACATAACACTCATACATAATAATAGCATGAGATTACAATTGTAATCGGATTTAGACCAAATGAAAGAGAGTGTAAAGAATTAGTGAAGATTTCGACACTTTTTCGCTCATTTTCAAATCATATATACAGAAAAGAGAGAGAGAGAAAGATAGAGAGAGAGATGGACGTTATTATTGAGCGATCAATTTCGAACATTGATGCCAAATTACATTTTGCCCGGTATCCAATTATTTAAATGCTTCATGAATTTATCGTATCTTTTGGAGTGCTATTTACACTGCCTTAAAACAACAGCAACACTTGAATCGATCGATCAATCGATTTATGATGAAAAATCAATCATTACTTTCCGGTGGCGTTTATTGAAATGCTGCTGTAGATATAATCATTCGTTTGGAATGATCAGAGCGACGTTCGCACTCAGTATGGGGAGATTGTTATCTCGAGCGCAAAGTACAAACAATTGAAAATTACTTTCCCGGGGAGCTTTCGCTGAATCAAAAAAATCGCAGTAAAAATTAATTTCAAACTACTCTTTCTTTCGATGAAAAGAAAAATCAACCTACAAAACTATTACGGTGGAATTGAATTCGATCAGATTATGCAGCACCATGAAATTGATGGTTTTGAGAATGATTCTGAAATCATTCATCAAACCATGACTTTTTATCTGCATATATATTTTTTTTAAATCTTGAATTCTGGTGGCAACCGTTGCTGCTGTGGTGCGCCACTTGCATCGAATTATTTGTTCAACATTCTACACGTCAAAATGTATTGATCAACAGAGTAAATGAATAGCAATATTATTTGCGTCATGGTTTACATATTGTGAAGTGTTCACTTAAGCATGGATTAATGTATGCGGTTAAAGCGATTAGCAATAAGAAAAAACTGCATTTCAATTGTGAGTGTGTGTGTGTTTTTTCTCGTTCATTTCGGTTTTGGTCGTGTTGTTGTAAATAATCCGGCTCATGAAAGGTGATAGAGATATAATAAAGCGGAGGGAATCAATGAAGCCATTCTTAATTCTTCACATGAAATGGAAACGCAAATATGCGACCACCCCATGCTGAAATTGATAGGCGACTGTGATGACAACGATACCGACAGTGTTTTCAACACTCAACGGGTTATAATGTTATCAAAACAACAACAACAACAACATAAAAAGAAAAAGAGACGCAAATCAAACGATGTACAAACATCACGGCTTCAATCGAATCAAACAATATACGGTTTCTTTTGTTTTGGTTTTCGTTCGAACATGATTCATCTGTGTGGATACGATATAATTTTCCAAACATCATCTGACTGATATGCTTCGCCGTTCATTTATCGAAACATGTTCCGATATTGGATGCTCTTTTGTTACATATCAATAACAGATGAATAGATTTCGATCCGATTCTAACGGCCGCTACGTATGTGAATAATAACGCACGCAAAACAAAAACGTGATGATAGCAGACGAGTCTTCGATAAGAAGTCAATAAACTTTCATTTCGATTTGAATTGCGAACAATAGCAATGTAACCTCGACTTGGCCGATCAATTTCTTTTCTTTTGCTCATCGGTAGAGAAAAAGAAATGCCCTCACGTACCACAATATTGCCAATACTATTGATTTCTATTTTATCCACTGTTATTCCTCCACACATATCGTGTGTTTTCATTTTTCTTGTTAACAATTTTTCACAGATTTTTTTTTTCTTCCAAAAGTCTCAGGTGCAATGACCATCGAACTTTTGAATGGAGAAAACTTTTTGGGTGAAAAAAAAACCGAAATATCCAATGGAAAATTGTGCTAAAAACGAGGAAAAAACTTAAAAATCCCATCAAAAGAAAATAAAAGTTCAAATAAAATGTTCGTCTATCGACACGTACATTCGGTACTTTGAACTTAAGAATTTTTTTTTATTTCATTCTTCATGTATGCAATATTTTGTTGGCTCTTTTTATATATGTTCACAGTTGAACAAAAAAAATTGATCACATTTTAACACCAACACATGAAAATTGATAACAATAACACGATCTTGCGCAACACAGTACCAACATCCAGTTCTCTTTTTTTCCACTGTTAGTTCTCGCATGGTATTGTTGTGGCTAGACAATGATCATTTAGACCAAACTAGAATATCAACAATAGAATAAGAGAATCCGTAAAATAATAAAAAAAAGAACACAATGTTCAGTACTAAGCCAATCGACAACCAAAATACACAAATATCGATGAACTTGGAGAATGCCGATGAACGTGTATCTGACCAATTAGTACATTTTGCCTGAGTTTTCGTCAGTTTTTCAACGCATTTTTTTGTGGCAGTATTTTTTCAGTTCTTTTTCTACCTCGCACAACAAAACCGAATGAAGAAATCTCCATTTTATGAGCTATTACCTATTAGCAACAATAAAATTGATGAAAATAGATATAAAAATCGGTGTATATGAACGGAAGAGATGAAAATGAAAGAGAAAAAAATCGTTTTATTCAACTATGCGCACGACCACGAAGTGTACGGAGTATAGCGGTTTTGAGATTTATTCACAATGAACTAACTCTCCGATTCCATCGCTTTCAACAAATCAATATTTTTTTTTTTTTGCTATTCGTATCCATCCCGAAAATGGCGATTTCATGTGTTTGTTTTATTAGACACGTTTAAACGGGAATATGACTTATCCGGTTGGAGTTTTTTTTATGTTCGCTCGAGTGCGATCTATGGTTGACGCGGTTAATTGGCAATCAGTTGAGTGTGTGTGTTTTTTTTTTAAACCGAGTCTTTCAACAGCGGTCAATATATGAAAATTGTGCTGAACGGAACAATGGTTAGATTAACATGAGCAAAAAATCATTGCGTTTGAACAGTTATTTATTGGCAATTTTAATTGAAGCAACACAAACTCAACGATTAGAAATATGAAAAAAAAAAAGAAAAAATACATTATTCCGTTTTAGAACCATTTCATATCGACATAAAATCAAAGAATCCGTTTCAAACAATAAATCCCTGGATAAGATCATGAAATATACGCAATCACCAGGTTTGAAAATTCGTGAGAATTAAAGCGAAAACAATGTATACATTTTTACCATCGCTCTTTCTCTCACTCACACAGAAATACTTTCATTCAAAACTAATTGAATTGCCTCCCGAAATATTCACAGGATGCATTTAAAAGTTTTGGAATTCTTTTTATCACTCCATTACTCTAATCGATGAATTTGGAGAATGCCGAAGAACAAAAACAAGAGATAGAAATAAGACACAAAAAATACCCAGACTAGAGAGAGAGAGAATGTACTCATGACAAACCACAAACAAACAGTATTTTTTCGATGGCACGACAGAAAAGTCATATCCATGTTCATGATTAATAGCAATATAAGTGGAAACGAAGATGAGGCAGTCGAAAATCGAATTTGTGGCCAGCAACACACAAACACATAAATCGATAGAGTCAGAGACGCGGATGAGAAACAACAATGCAATCAAAGTGTTTCCGCACTTTGTACAGCTCAACTCGGGAACATTGCCATGCATTTATTGTTTTTTTTTTATTGTTTTGTTTCAATGGTTCTAGGTTCGAGAGAGTTCGATTTAACTCGCTCTTACTATCGACTTTCTTTAATATAGAAACCACAATGGCTTTTAATTTCACTGGCTGACTCCAATTCGATTCATTATTGTCACACTCAAAGTGCATGCACTTTGTTAGCCAATATCGTTGAGTTACTTTTTTTCTCTCTCGCTCAATCGAAGTACATTTGCAGTACCGAAAACCGTTTTGAGAAGAGCGAAAAAAAGAATGGCAAAGTTGATAAAATGAAGCAGATGCAGTGCACATCGCGAAAAAAAACTATATATATATAAACAAAAACGAAGAAATAAAAGTAGACAAAAAAAATCGATACGTTTACGGGACCAAATGTTCACTTGAAAACGTTTTGAATTGGTCTTCCTATAAAATGTCGTGAAAACGAAAACAAGATTGTTTCTGTACAATTTTTCTATTTCATTTCTGCTATTTTTATCGTTTATTTATTTTTATTTTGTATCGGTCGTCGTTGTTGGTTTTTTTCTGTTATTTCGTTGTTTTCGTCGTCGTTGTCGTTTGGTGTCGTTTGTTGCTGTGCTTTTGCTCACTCGACTTGCCATTTCGAGAAATAAGTGCATGGGATGGCAAAAGGCTATGAGAAGCGAAAATTCATGCCAAGAAAATCGAATCAAGAAAAAGTACATAGATGGGAAAATAATGAATTGTGAATACCAATGAAGGCAAAATGGAAAAAATGTAGTTTAAATCACGGACAGTTTTTTTTTCTGTCGCTTTGCCATTTGGATCGCATATAAGTACATATTTGATATTTACGAATAAGTTTATTTAGTTCAGGTCCTCTTAATCGAAGGAAAAAAAATGTGCCACAAAATGCACCGTACATACCACGAAGTGGAATATAATATAAGAAAAAAAAAACTAACAAAGTCACAGACACACACAGCAGAGACAAAAACACGAAATAAGAAGAAGCAGGAATATAAAAAAACACACACACAACGGCGATGCAAGCAAGAACAAATAGAAAACAAGAAAAAACAAAATAGATAAATACCAGGGATGAAAGAGCATTATCACGATAGCTAAATGTTTGTGTCTTGTAAACACAAATCTCAAAATAAAGTAATAATATGGCCGACAACTCGAGCCAATGAATGCAAACAAAACCAAATAAAAATCACACCAAATAAACGAAAACATTTAAATTTATCGGCAGCATTTCAAGCCAATGGTTCGTCTCTTCGAATGGAACATTCGACAAAGAAATGGTCAGATGATATTCAAATGCGACTCAATGCATTTGAGCTGAATCATTGATGTCATCGCTGCCACATCATTTTCTAAATTTTATGTGTGTGTGTGCATTTTGTGATCATCATTCATGGTGTGCATTGAAATGAGAAAAAAAAAACCACTTTATAAAACTCGTTGTTATCAACAGTTTGTTGATTCCATAATTTATAGATTTGAATGTCACTTTGTGTCATTCATCATTACTGCCGTGTGTCTGTGTCAATGCGTGTATGGCGTGATCTCATTCCATTTCACCCAAGATAAGAGTTTCACGCTCGCGAATATACTCACTTAATATTCGTATGACCATTTTTGCATGCAGTCATTTACATATTACTGACCATTTGCCAATCATCATAAATATCATCGATAATAATGTGAAGCAAACGAACGAAAAAAAAAACATACACACACAAATTTACAGTTGTTAAAATTTCAATTACATTCTTCACAAAGAACTTAATTATTGTGGCATTCACTTTAATAATTCAACCGTATTTTTTTTTGTTTCTCTTTTTTTCCCTTTTGATATCCGATGCATGCGCTGCAGTGATCGTTAATTGTGCGTTCATTTAAAAGTAAAATTCCCATATTTGATTCATCATCGGAGGAAGCAGCATTGCAGAAAAAAAAAGTGCGACAGCGAAAACACAGATCTAACTTGGCTGCTGGAATTTAATCAGTCGTGACGATAAGCGTCTACTTCAGTAAATTTCGAATCAACCGAACGTAAAGCATCTTTGCCGTAAAAGCATTCCGCGGAATTTCCGCCTATGGTCAAGCAGTTTAATTGAAGAAGGTAAGTTTTATTTGACATGATGTTTTGTGTACAGCTTCGCTTTTAAACATATAGACTTTTTCTCTGTCTCTCTCGATATTTTTCGCATTGTGATTCTTTGTTTTTTTTTTGTCTATCCATGTTGAACCTATCTCATTATTTTCCCTTTTGTTTGGTCTGTTTTTCTCTCTTTCATTCGCTCTTTCATCACGAATCAATTGTTTTCGCAAGGCAAAAAAGCATTATGTGAAAATTTGCTTCTGAAAATCGACGGAAAAATATGTCAAAATCAATCGTTTTGTTTTTTTTTTCTACGGCAAAAATGGAATTTTTTTTTTTTTTTATACTGCTTTGACGATGATTATGTTGATGACGATGATGATGAGAGAAAAAAAAATGTTGTTTTTAAATGCCTGTTCATCAGCAGTCAAATTAATTTGATGTAACGATTCTAAAGATAGAACAGATGGAGTCAAGTGGACTGGAACTTAAGCTCGGTGCTTCTTTTTTTATCATGCACAACCAGCAATAGCGAGATGAAGCGAGATAGATAGAGAGATTTTAAATCGTTTAAGGCAATTTATGACATGAAGAAAAGTGTTTTATAACGGTGCAACACGAAGTAACGAGTTAACCGTTTTGTTGCATTTTTTACATTGTATTGTCACTACAACTTTTTCCATGAACCAGGAGAGAAATTCAATGCACTTCTTTCATGCCAATGATCATTAGAATCTTTTAGATACGTTAACAACTTACACACTGTTTTTGTTCAAATTCAATGTTCACATTGTGTATTTTGTACGATATTCTGTTACTTTTGTATATTTGAGTGCAACAAGTGATCTGATCGCAATGAGTGACCAAAACAAAGCAAATTAAATCCGTTCAAAGTTCATAAAAGCAACAAATATGTCAAATGACCATACATCCAATTCTCATGATCGTACCATCTCTTTTGTGTTCTACGTACTTCATTACACACAGAACCAAATGTTGTCAAACGGCTTTTCTAAATATAAACGAAAATGAAAATAATAAAAAAAACCATCTTCACACACTGAGGCATAAATAGATAATAAAAAAAAAAACATATGCATCCACACATATAGTCGCCGCATTGGAAAAAAGTGCATAAAAAGCAAACAGAAGTGCTGGTAAACTGGCTAGAAAAGAAAAAAAAGCGAGAGCAACAGAAGTTGAAATGGATAGAGAAAAACGAAGATACTCTCGAAAAAAAAAATGAACTGAAAGAAAAAGCGTATCAGGTGTGTGCGTATGTGTTCACATATCCCAGAATATTTACAAACAGACAGTCACAAATTATACAAATGATGGAGGACACAAGGTATTGCTACGAGCATTTATAATGAAAACAAATATGAAAATAACAAATACAGGATAAAATAAAAATCAACGATGACTCAAAAGCGAAAGACGATGGACTTATGTCCATGCTCGAGCGCGCGCGATCGCGTTCACTTCGACATACACACACACACACACTTTCATGAAAAAAGAAAGAAAACACAGACGCATATTCATTTAGGCATCTTTGTGCATCACAAAACAGCCCGCAATGTAAATAATCACAAATATAGACTCCACTTGAATTACAATCATATCATCAGAATCACCAATCTGTTACTTGAAATGGCATCGAAAAAAGAAAACAATAAAAAAAAATAAAGACGAGCATCTCTGTTGCAACATGTTTTTACCTCTTTATAACATCATGCGGTCAATGTATGTGCATGTTTGGCACCATGAATATACATATTTTATAATTCGTGTATTGAATAAAAGTGGCGAAGCTTGGTAGCCGATTGTATTAGTTGGTAGCCAATGGGTCTTATTACTTTTCGTGCATTCGATCGAATGCCACAACATTCGCACATTCACACCAAGCCCAATTTTGTTTGGGCTGCTTTTCGTCATTATTATGCATATAAACGCACAGTGCTTTATCTTTCTCACTCTTATTTTCATTTTTTTTTAAATATATTGAACAACGCAGAAAACTATAATGATACCATCATGAGTTCTATGAGCCAAACATAAAGGCACCAACAACGAAAACGGATCTGTGCTGTGCAGTGCTGGGCCAACACATACACATGATGTCTGTTGTCTTTTTTCATCTTGTACTGAATGATTAAGTTGGAATAAAAGTGCATATGTCGTTTTATTAAAATCTGATCGATATGTCTATAAATAGTTAGTTGTTCTTTGACAGTGCACAACCACATCTCAATAGATTCCAATGAGATGCCGAGTTTATTGTAGGTTTGCTACGTGTTGCTGTTGTATTCTCTGTCGTTTTGTTTTTCGTTGTTGTTGTTATTTGTTTTTTCTTTCACTCTTTTACAGCATCAGCAAGCTTTATGGTGCACTTTTTCCTGTACGCGCGCGCCCTTGTCTATAATTTCAAAGTTGCCAATGATTAAGTATTCTCGCTTATTCCTCTGGAGAGACCGGATAGAATTTGAACTATTCCAATCGAATGAATGCAGAAAATATCAGGTTTTGTTTTCAACGCTGATGCTTCGTTCCCCTTGGGCAGATGCAAGAATTTAAAAAAAAGCAACACAAAAAAAATCGTCCAAGAAAAATGAGAATGCGAACGAATGAAATAAAAACGAGAGTTATTCTTTCTTTTTTGTATTCGTATAAATTCATACGGTTTTGCTCGCATTTTCTTGGCAAAAACAAAATCAAAAGATCTCAGAAGACTATAGAAGAGATTGTATGAGTGTTGACACGGTTGACAAATCAAATTGCAATTTACATTTGTCACAAGATAAATATCAGTATATATATATATATATATATATTTCTATTCTTCTTCCGGGCGCACCAATTTTATCATCACTTCGATTCGTTGCCACTTTTATTGATTTTGACTGCTCGATAGATTCCAATTAATCTCACCGTGATGGCTCATTTAACATTGTCAGTGTCAATAATTTTTCTTTCATTTCAGACGCATTCAATGTCTTTTTTCTTCATTCTTTTTTCATCCGAGATTCTTTAACCGATTTCGTTTTTCATTTCACACCAACATTCGATCGAATAATTTCAGTGTGTGTGTGATTTATGTACCTTCTGAATGTCTGATAGTATTCTATATTCTGTTTTTAAAAACATGAGTGAGAAATTAATTCATTTGAAAATTCAACCATCGATAAAAGACACACAGTAAATGGAATTTCAAGAAAATGAGACAGAATAAAACCGAGCGTTGACGTTTTTTTTTCTTTGCCAAATATTATCTTGTGCCAACGATCGCGAATATCCATGTACACGATCTCATGTTCAACTATCGCCTGAAATGAAATTGTTATACAAAACATCGTTTTATTTTGACATTGAATCTCTCTATTCGTCTACATAATAAATACACATATCGCAAACAATTTTCCAGTCGCGTGATTTTGACAGTCGCTAAACTTGAACTTAGTCGGTTTTCTGTTTCATTTTAACTTCGTCGAATGGCAGGCGTTATATTATATTCCGATGTTCGTTTGTCAATTTATTTGTGTTGTATCAAATAACCAAATACAAAAATCAAATTGAACAATCGATCGATTGAAGAGTGTATATTACCCATACGCAGGTGAAAAAAATAACTATAAATAAATTCAAACAAGAATTAAAAAAATAAATAAATAAATAAACCATAAACAAGTCGATGTGTTTTTATTTAAATAACTTCAGTTGAAAGACGAGCCAGATTCCATCGAATCGAATTAGCTTACCAATTAACACTTCGAAATGGCATTCGATAATGGCCGAGAGCATTTAAAGAATGAATTGTTCTCAAGCTGCCGAAGAATAGCAAATAAAATAAAATTCCATGCAGACCAAACGTCACACACAAAAAATAACACACTCTACCGACGAATATATATACATACCGAATGTATATCGAGAGTAAAAAAGTCCATCCAGCATGGACATGAGTTACTTAAGCAATTGCATTCTTGCAAATATAATATGATAATTGCAATGCCAGCAAGATTATGCCCTTTTTCCACCTGTTCTTGGTTCACCTCTAAAATTGTGTGCTAAGTTATGCGTGTTTTCCTTCGGCGGCGTTATGGTTTTTTTTCATCTTCGTCTTCGCTTCTCTTTTTAAATTTAGAATAAATCTCACGATAGACAGAAACGAGCAAATTTCCACAAGAATTCTTTGCTGTGCAGTTGTTTCCCCTGCACTTCGTTACCGCACGCTTGAATGGTACATGATAAATCTTATTCGATTTGTGTGTGTTTCAGGCTGTTTTAAAAACACGCGGCTCACAAATAAAACGATGCATGCACTTGAATACTGGATTCAGTAGAATCAATGTAGAAAAGATAGCTCCATTCATAAATGGCTTTCGTCTTGGTAATAAATAAAAATACGAACAAAAAAAAAAACGCACACACACACACTTGGAGTGATTTAAGAAAAAAATATAAGTTGAATTGGAAAAACTCGGCATTATACAAATAAAATGCTCCGGATTTTCTCGACAGTTTGTGAATACGGATTAGAAGACATAAAATTGTTCGGTCGACTAAAAGGTATCCAACAGCGCTCATCGGCATTCTAACGCATTCAAAGTCATAAACAAAAGAACCCACCGACCAGACGAATTTGCAAGATATAAATTAACAATCTGTGCTACTTATAATAATTATTACAAGTTCTGGGTTGTTGATTTTTTTTCTATCCAGCTCGCACTCTCTTCAATTTTGTATACCCAGAATTGTGAACCTCTTTCAACTCGTTACCAAAGCGCTTCGCGCACGATCATCTCAACAGAATTATGTATAAATCTGAACTTTCCGAAATGCGAGCAAGAAGAGAGAGAGAAAGAAAATAATATGATACAGAATTGCCGCTTCGAGAATGCAGTACCACCAATAACACTAATAGTGTTCAATGTGAATATTCGTTTTTTTTTCGTGGTCGTTCATTTTGCACTAATCTCGTTTAACCATGCGCTCTCTGGGTTGAGCTGTGAAAGTTTTCA